GCTGTTGCTTATTCACCCTGTGCTGATTGTACCCTGCACTGCTTTTATACCTGTGCCAGCAGGTACCGATATATAAGACTAGAAAAGAGAGAGCAGGAACAGGCTGTACCAAATCCATTGCTCTATGTGTGAGGTGCGAAAATGTGTTTTGTATCTGTCACTCTGTATATGCAGTGCTTCTGAACCAAAAGCTGCATGGCATCAGTGCTCAGGTTTGTTCCAATCGTTTTCCTGTCTGCACAGCTGGTGCGTGTGTGTGAAGAAAATCACTGTGAAAAACAACAGCCCAGGGTGTGCTTTCTCTGCACTGCTGATTGGGCAGAATCCAACGATGATTGTGTGCTGATGAAAGGTGTTCCATCAGCGGAAAGTGGAGGGGGGGATTTATGGTCATTCTGTGGCCCCTCAACGCTGGTAAGGCCAAAGATGATCCTGTGGGGGGAGGACTGGGAAATGGCCTGGATCTCAAGACTCCAAAGCCATTGTGATGCCCCAGGATGCCCAAACTAGGGGGAGATTTAGACCACATTCTGAGCTGGTCTGAATCTCCCTCTCCTTTCTTTCAAACTCTTTTTAAAAACTGTGCTAAGTGGATAGAGGAGTCTCTGACTCCTCACTTTTACTCTGCCAGTGAAAATCTGGCATGGCAGCAGATAGGCAGATAGACTACATTTGGAGATCAACCCAGCTCCCCTGGGATTACACCCCAAGAAAACCATTTTCACTGAAAATAGGAGGCAGTCTTAGGCTTCAATTCTATGGTTCCTAAAGGTCATTGCTGGGGCCATAGTATTCTTCAGATCTCTCCCAGGAGGGTGAGAGAGTTCTCCATTTAGTGTATAAGTTTGGATCTCCTTCTCTATCGCTGTGTCCGTTCTTCAGCCAGTGTCCCTTCAGCACTGGAGAGGGCAAAAATGAAGTGTTCGGAGAGAGACACTGTGGACCCACAACCATCCCATTCACCCAACACATCCCCAGAACAGGAGACAAACTGCACTGCAGTTTATTTCCCTCCCACTGGACCCAATGCAAGATAAACTCTCCCCCACCATTAAAGAAGAAGAAGAAGAAGAAGAAGAAGAAGAAGAAGAAGAAGAGGAGGAGGAGGAGGAGTTTGGATTTGATATCCTGCCTTTCACTCCCCTTCAGGAGTCTCAAAGCGGCTAACAATCTCCTTTCCCTTCCTCCCCCACAACAAACACTCTATGAGGTGAGTGGGGCTGAGAGACTTCAGAGAAGTGTGACTGGCCCAAGGTCACCCAGCAGCTGCATGTGGAGGAGCGGAGATGCGAACCCGGTTCCCCAGATTACGAGACTACCGCTCTTAACCACTACACCACACTGGCATAACCCTTTCCGCCTTCTGCCCCACTGCACCAGTGTGGGCCCAGCAGGTTGTGAGATAAAGCAGGTTGTTCGCTTTTGGTTCTCCCTCCCTTTTTATGATTTGCTTTCAGTTCTGTTCTGTTCATTTCACTTTTAACTGGTATACCACCTCCCTTCTATATTACTATGCACAAGGTGGTTTACAAGCTGAAGAAACAACAAACTATAAAAAGATCACACAACTGATAACCATCTGATCCAATACTGTACAAAAAAGTCATAATAAAAACCTAACTTTAAAATAAACAACTTATCTCAAATAAAGTAATATTCAATGATCCACCAGAATATACGGTAATTGTACACATGGTCTGGGAAAGACTCCTAAGACTGGAGGGAAGGGCGAGGCAGATGGAATAAAACATTGCCTGACAGCCAGCACAAAATCTGTCTCCCCTCACAAGTGTATTGTATGCAATAGTTGATGCCAGGCTTTAATATGTAAAATACTGGAGTCCAGGGGCACCATCTCCTATGGGCCAAGCCCCCCCCCCCAATGTTCAAATGGGGCAGAGGAGGCCAAGCACCCAACTGAGCATGGCACAGCTTCAGTGGCTGGGTCTTCCTCTTCCTCCTGCCATGGAGGGCAAGGAGCAGGGAAGCAGCCCCCGGCCCATGGGGGGAGGGGGAGGGGGGAGGAGGAGGAGGTGGAGACACTGGCACCACTGGCCATTGAATCCATGCTGCCACCACTTTTGGCTCAACCCCAGCTCCTCTGTACGTCCTGACATCACACAAGTGACAGTCCCCCACCCCAGTTGTCCTCAGAAGTTGGAGCCTCTGCTGGAGACAGTCTAAGATCCCTACAGTTGCTGAACGGGAATCAGAGCTGTGTGAGCATGCCGCAATCACTATGTGTGTGGTAGTATCCTAACATTAAACACAATGTGCTATAAGCTGTGAAAGGCGGCTTCCTCAAGGATACTCAGAGTTACATAGGCACCATATTTTTCGCTCTGTAAGACGCACCAGACCACAAGACGCACCTAGTTTTTGGAGGAGGAGAACAAGAAAAAATATATTCTGAATCTCAGAAGCCAGAATAGCAAGAGGGATCGCTGCGCAGTGAAAGCAGCAATCCCTCTTGTTGTTCTGGCTTCTGGGATAGCTGCGCAGCCTGCATTCACTCCATAAGACGCACACGCATTCCCCCTTACTTTTTAGGAGGGAAGAAGTGAGTCTTATAGAGCAAAAAATACGGTAAGTGAGGACAGGGCATAGCATGGGTTGCCTGTGCCTGGGGCAGGGTAAGCGTTGCGCACCCCTGGTAGACTGGGCAATGGTCAGTCGCTTCGCTGGCCAGCATCTAATCAAGGCAGTCCCTCGCTCCTCAGTGAGTGGCGGCCTCCCCCTCCCTCTTGGCTCAGGGATGGGGCACGTGTCTGTGCCCCAGCCCAGAAGGCCTAGCCCAGGTGGCCCAGCCCAGGCATGGCTTGCCTCCCAGCAGCTCCATGGGGGTGCAACCTCAGAAATTTTCACCTGGGGCCATGGCCCCCCATGCTACGCCACTGAGTGAGGATGTGGACCTGAGCTCACCACATCCAAGCCCATCACTCACTGCCCCACCAGTGGCTTTCATATAAGCTTTAGCCAGCCACGGGTGCTGTGCCTCTCACTACAGCCAGACATGAGAAAGAGTCACTGTCTCTGCACTAGGAAAAGTTTTGCTTGCTGAGTTTTTTGCAGCTGCAAGCCAGGCTGGTAGTCAGCTGGCAACACTGCTCTCACATTTCCCACACGAACACATTTCTCCTTCATCTTTTTGCTTTAAAGCATTCAACTAAGTGCAAACATACCCCGTGGATTTACCTAAAATTAAAGTGTTGTGAATTTCATTTCATTCTCAGAATTAAAATTGGATCCTCAGTATCAATTACTGCTTTGCTGGGTTCTGCTGAATAAATAATTAGAGGCAAAACTTTGGTATACATTACATCAACACCAGCTTTTCCCAGCCTCTGCCCAACCCTGATTACATATTAACCTAACAAAAATGTCTTACTTTTTGGTGAGTCAAATGTCAGATGACAGATACTGTTATTGAATGACTGCACATTTTAGATTGTGAATTATGAAAATAAGAATCAGAATATGGTTTTAAATGCCTTTAATCCTACTTAACAAAATTAATGCCAGTTTATAGCAAGTACTCTAATTAAATTGTTTTTGTGGACCATGCTAAGATAATACTGCATAATTAAGCACATAATCCATCTAAAGTTAAGGCGCTTTCAAGGCTCAAGTTCTATGCACACATTTGAAAGAAAACTCTACTGTTGTCAGTGAGACTTACCGTACTTCTGAGCATGCATGCAAAAGATTGGGCTAAAAATCTCATTACTGTCAATGTGACTGTTAAGCACTAAAATGAGACTTAAAAGAGTCCAGCCTTGGCTGGATTTTGTGCAACTGCCTTTAACAGCAGCTTGATGTGCTAGCATTAGCAAGTGAAAATGTGTATCTGTGCTGGGAAAACCTTCACATCCCAATTTGTGCTGCTAAAGTAACAGGAGCCAGCCAGGATATTAGAAAACAAACAAACAGTCAGATAACCCTGTTGGACATTATCTACTTGCACGGTGTTTAGTTATCACATATAATTACCATTTTTGTTACAATATATTCTATTGATGGAAGAGACAAGCTATAGTTAGTTATAAATAAATAATAAATGGCTCTACCTTGATCCTTAACATTTTTCAATGCATGGATGTCTAAAGATGATGAGGAATGGGGAAACAAGGAGCCTTCATTATATTGATAATATTTATTAAGGCTTTAAAGATAATAATAAATGTGGATGTTTGTTCCTGAAGCAGAGTTATCTTTTAGGTTGCTAGGACCACCAAGAAAAATGCAAAAACCCACATTAGGGAGCTCTTTTTTATTTCCTGTCAGAAAATGGGGGGGGGATAATGTTTTGTTTGTTACTATGTAATGCATTTTATGTTTTTATACTGCCTTGTGATCTTCAGATGAAGGGTGTTGTTGTTTAGTTGTTTAGTCGTGTCCGCCTCTTCGTGACCCCCTGGACCAGAGCACGCCAGGCACTCCTGTCTTCCACTGCCTCCCGCAGTTTGGTCAAACTCATGCTGGTAGCTTCGAGAACACTGTCCCACCATCTCATCCTCCGTCGTCCCCTTCTCCTTGTGCCCTCCATCTTTCCCAATATCAGGGTCTTTTCTAGGGAGTCCTCTCTTCTCATGAGGTAGCCAAAGTTTGGAGCCTCAGCTTCACGATCTGTCCTTCCAGTGAGCTGATTTCCTTCAGAATGGAGAAGTTAGATGAAGGGTGGTATATAAATTTAATAATAATAATAATAATAATAATAATAATAATAATAATAATAATAATAATATTATTCTGGGAAGCTTTAATGCTGTTCCCCGTGGCTTTTCATCAAGCTGGATGGTAAACAAAACCAAAATTATAAAGGGGAGGGAGAGGGGAAAATAATATTGGGCAGGTGGTGAAGCCATCACTCTCAAAGTTCCCGGTGTTTCCTACCAAGCAGCTGAGCTGATTCTCTGTAGCAGCATCGAAGCATCTCATTCCTGTCGTCGAGATGAACTTTTGCGGGGTAAAGCCCGGCACATTTTCGGCATATCCCGCGGGGACCCCCCCCCTCCATGACCACAGCAGCCTGCTTTTTTAAAACAACAACAACGTCGCCCCCCCCTCGAAACAGCCGCTCCCCCCCCACAAAGTACCTGCTCCCGAGCCAGAGACAAGACCAAGCAAAGCAGGACCCCCCCCCGCCTCCCCCCGGCCCAGGGGCGCCGCTCGGGGGTCTTCCTCCGCCCGCCCCGCCCGCCCTGCCTCCGGTTCCCTTCCGGGCTCCCGGCAGCTCCAGCTCGGCGCGCGCGGGGCGGGGCGGCTCTCTCCCCCCTCCCGCTCCCATTCATTTGCTCAGCCCCGAGAGGAGCGGGACGCTGCCGCCGCCTCCACCTCCGCCTCTCTCGCGTCCCGCACGGACGGCGGCGCAGCTGCAGGTGAGTTCGCTTCCCTCGGCGCTTCCCTCGCGCGCTTCAGCCCGAGCGGAGGGAAAAGAAGGAGCCGCCGCCGCCGCCGCCCCGTCCCGCTTCCCCGGGGGCGCCTTCCTGGGCGCGGGGCTGCCCCGCTCCGGGCGCCCCTCCGCGGCAACGGGGCCGAGCCGAGAAGCCCACGAAGCGCCCTGGCCGCCTCGCCGGGAGCAGGAGCCGCTCGGTCCTCCGCCGCCCCCTTCGCCCCTCTCTCCCCCTCGGCGCCCGGGTCCTGGGCTGCTGCCTGAGGCGCTCGCCCCCCAACATTTCCTTGCAGGCGGCGGGGGGGAGGGGGCAGGAAGACCCCGCCGCCTCCGCCGTTTGTGTCCGGACTTTCCCCGGGCGCGCTTCCCCTGCGGTCTTCTTGGCCCAACATCCACCTGTTGCGGCGGAGGCGAGGCGCCCCGGGAGGCTGGCCGGCCCGGCCGGGGGCATCGCTTCCATCCTGCGGACAAAAGGGCTGCCGCCCCCGCGAAACCAGGAGCAGCTCTCTGGGGCTCGAGGGCTTGGCAGGCCCTTCATCTCCCCTCCATTGGCGCCTCCGCCCCCAGCCCGGCTTGCGCGGCTCCTCAGTCTGGGGGCGCGCTCAGGCGGATGGGCTGCCGCTCCCCGGTTGCACATGGAGCCCGTAAGGCCACACCAGAGACGCCCCTGGCACCCAGTTGCCCCATTCTTCCCCGCCATGTGATTAAACCTCGCACTACTTTGCGGAGCTGATTTGGAGCCCTGACTAGATCACTGGTGCAAACAGTTTCCTAGTTCACACTGGCAGCCAGGACTTAGTTGATGTAATAACTTATGACACCACAGTGACATCACAGTCGTGTCCATAGCAGCCACAGGTGTGGTGAGACAGGATTGTGAGTAATCCAGCAATCCTAACTCTGGCTGGGGAGCAGCTGCATCTGGAGCCCTGCGGGTGAGGGGGGCAGGTGTGGGGTGGTTTGTTTCGGCTGCCCTAGCTGTAGGTTTGTGCAGCTGAGAGAGCAGAGGATCAGGGCCTTTGGGGATCCGCAGGACTTTGAATCCAAAGTCAAGACTTTGAATCGGGCACAGCGGTGGCCAAGCCCTCCTGGCAGGAGAGGCTGTTGGAGGGTCAGCTGTCTTGTCTTCATCGCCTTGGGCAGCACAGAGCCGGAGGTGAGGATTGCTCTATAAGCCTAAGTTTTGAACCATATTAGTTTAGTTTGATGTATAGAGCTGTGTTTTAACCTATAAGAGAGCTTATTGTTTAGGGCTGTATTCTGCTGTTCGCTTCTAGCTTGATTTAGGACATTGCTTCCCCAAGGGGGCTTTACTGCTCCCTGTGGGGCAGTGGGATTACTTAGGGGGCGCTGAGAAGCAGGGGGTGGGGTGGGCACTGAAGGTGATAAGGACTATCAAACTTTGGAAAGTTGACAAAACTGGATCCAACTTTGAAAAGTTAGTATCACTGGCTCAAGTTGAAACAAAAAAAATTCCTTCCAGTAGCACCTTAAAGACCAACTAAGTTAGTTCTTGGTATGAGCTTTCATGTGCATGCACACTTTTGTTTTGACTATGGCAGACCAACACGGCTACCTATCTGTAACTGGCTCAAGTTGATCAGTTTTGCTGAATTAAGTAAACAAAATAGTTTTATTTGGGTTTTGAGTGAAGGTGAAATTAATGGTTACTATTTTGAATGTTATTGTGTTAATGTCTTCCTTAATGGGCCATGCAAACTGCTATTTTGAACAATGCTTTTTATAAGGTAGGGTAGTGGACCCTGGCGATGAGTTTATGGAACCAAAGTGGCAGTGATCCTTGAAAGATTTTAGGAGATATGAGATGGGAAAAGCTTTTTATCATATAGTTTATTTCAGATGTACTGAAGCATTCTAGACATGGAATGGAAATCTGATACAGACTATGTTATGGGATTTCCCTTAGCATAGGGACAACAGTGGCCAAGCCCTCCTGGCAGCTATTCATGTAGAGGCTGGGTAGCATTTTGTAGTCTAAAAGAAAGCAGAACAAAACATTTGGCACCAGTTTGGCTGCAGGAGTTGTCAGAAGAAGGCATACAAGGTGCCATCCAACCGTCTTAGGGACTCCACTCTGAATTTGTGTAAGGTTTAGCCCTGTCTTCTCCTGAAGATGTCCCACAAGGCACTTATATATTGCCCAATATACCCATATGTCAGCATAGGTGACACAAACTAGGATATTTGTTTAGCTGGAGTATTGTGTATGCACATGTGCCCCCCCCTTCTTGATTAGGTGAAACTTGTTGCTCAGTGAGACACAGGTCTTTGTCTAGCAAACTTTCCATCCAGTCCTGGCTTTCACGCCTCAGCTCTCCGGGGAAAGGGCATTTGTCTTCCCAGAGATGCAAGATCTTGCTGGAAACGGGCACCACTTCTCCACTGGCTGCAGGGCGAGGGAGGCACCTGCAGGGGCTCTGCATCTTGTGCCGCCCGAGGCAGCTGCTTCACCCCACCTCATGGACAGGCTGGCTGTGCCTGTGATCCCAGGAGAAACTCATGCAGTTCTGAGAAGCTTTCCTAGTTAACTATTAGAGAATCAGGGAGAACATGTGGTTGGCATCAAATGAACCTTTCTTTATGTGTTGGTAGTGGTCGTCTTGTTGAAAGGATAAATGTTTACAGAAAGAATTTCCAGGCATAGCACTGACATGTGAAGAATCTGAGGATGCTGAACAAATGCAACTATAGAGCATTAAGCTTCCTGTCTTGTTTGGGATAAAATCTGGGAAATATATATTCTTAACTGAATTTATTAAATGTATAGGGAGGGGGAAGTCAAAGGAAGTACTGTCTTATTGTTTTCGGTCTTTTTGTTTGTGCGTAGATTATGAAGTACAACTACCGTCCTGAATTCCAGAAATAGCATCACGTATTTACTACAGATTGTTTATTCCACTGTTAAAATACGAAAACCTTAAATCTCTCGTTTAACTTTTAGTCACTTTATAGCAAACCTTAAATCACTTGAAACAACTGAGTGCTGTGTTTCTTTCTAAACTTTCTCTGAGATAAAAGATAGCTATAGTGAGAGTTAAAGTGAGATGTTTAAAAGTGGGTGGGGGGAAGGTTTCCTGAAAATGGTTCATATTGCTTTTTTTGTATAATTGTTGGTTAAGAGCGTTAACCATTACTATCTTTCAGTGAAAAGTTTCAACTCATTCATGTGTTAGCAATCCCAAAATTTGTTACCCCAAAATGTAAATGGATAGTGAAAAAGTACATAATAAGGTGAACAGAAATAAGGTGGAATGTAAATATTCACATGTATTGTGAAAAGGTATGCAAACTGGTACTTAATTCTTCTACAACTATTTGTATCACATCTGTCCTGTACTTGTTGCAAAGTGTGTTCTAGGTCTTATAAGCCAACATGGCAACCCCTCCCCCAGATGTTGCTAGGCTGCATGTTACCTTTTCGTTTCCTAGGAGAAGTGTAAGAGGTTCCCATGTGAGCTCAGGAGACATATTTTGAAATGTGTGTTTCCACTTTCTCCCTGACTCTGCCGCACTACAGTTCCCCCATGTGACCTTAGATGTGCACAACCTGAGACCTGATCATCTAACTTGTGTTCTCCCTGTGTGGGGTTTATATGTGCTGTGAGTGGCTTTTGAATTACATCATACTCTATGTTCTGTTGTTCCAGTGTGGGTGGAATAGTAGAGGATGATGAGGCACATGTTTTTTATTTATTTTCCTCTTACATTATGCTCAATAGGAGGGAAATTGCTTCCACCATCCCAGACCTGATGGGTGTGTCCATGGAATGAAGAAGTTTAGGATTTGGCATAGCCATGCCACACCCCAAACTCATGTGCTCCTCCTCCTGCTGTAATTTTACCAGTGGTGGAGTTTTCTGCTGGTGTTTCAGGTGAGTTTCACTGGCCTTGGTGTCATGGTGCCATATCTGCTTGTGGAGTGGAGCTGAATACATGGCCGCTGAAATGTCAAAGGATTTTGCAAAAGAGTGTGTTAAGTTTTGAACTGTGTGGTTTCTATATGCAAAGCTGCACTTCAGTCTGGGAAATTTCTGCAATGCTATCTTAGCCACACTGTTCATGGGAGATCATGGGAAATCTGGAGCGGGAGAAGCTTTTATTACAAATTCAAGAAAATACAGCCGCTCTCAGTTTCAGATTGCCCATTATGTTGGGGAACCATTTCGGACTTAGTGCAAGTAATGTTTCTTTTTGTATCATGCAAAAACTGTGAAATGACCTTGATTCCCATGCCACATTCTGACATTTCAGGTCAGTTCATGAAAATACCCCCCTAAATACCAATGTTCTTATCTGTATGAATAAAACTTACTTTTTGTCTTCAGAAAAACCTTCATAATTTTGATTACTTTTACCCACACATTTCACAGCTTGGCATGGCAGCATTAATCCTATAACACTGCCTTTTTCATCACATTAATAAAGAACAATATGTTTCCTGAACAATTTTTTAAATGACTTATTTGCATATTTACACACTTGTGAGTTGAGATTCTGGTCTGAACTGATAAGGCTGAACATGTTGCATTAGCACCAAAGGGGTCTTTTTGGGTTCAGCAGCTGTGGATATATTTGTCCAGGTGTGACAGAATTCTTTAGGAGTTGGACGTACTCAGCGAAGCAATTAAAAGGTGGGTGGGTGGGTGTGAAATCAAGGATAAAGAGCTCTCATGCCTAATTGAGATGATCAACCAAATACTGGTGTGTTCTTTCCTTTCACCCTTAATGGAAGGTCAGCTTCAAAGAATGCGGGCACCGAGAAAATGTTAAGAGAGTGGAATCTACTAATTTAAAACCTTTCAGCAATCGGGAAATGGTAATCAAATACAACAAAGCATTGTCACTGTGAAGTCCATAATAGTTTCTGTGACGGGGGTGGGGTATCATAAGCTATAATTGCAGGAATGAATCTTGCTTTGCTTTCAAATTATATCTGTTTCTAATTCTCAGGTTGGCACATCCCTG